TTTTATTAACATAGCTTTCTAAACCAAAATGACTGAGGTGTAAGTTTAAAAAACTAAAATATATCTTTGCAAAATTTCAATTTATAAAACTATTAATAAAGTTCGTATTTAATATGTAAAAAATCTAATTGTAAATGTTTTATTAAATTCAATACAATATTATAAGCAATTTTATTTTAATAAAGTAGTAGCACTGTGTTGTGTAAAAGAATTTGTACGTACATATAAGATTAATTAAAAATAGTATTGATAGAATATAAATAAGTTCAAGTATTAATCAAGTTTGTTTTACCTGAACTAAACTTGTTTAACCTGGATAAATAGAAAGCTGCATATAAAAGAATATGAATGTAAAATAAACCTATTTTTAAAAAATACAAGTTATTATATATAAAAAAAAAGAATCTTAAAAAAAAAGTTTCGTATAACATAATGAATAAAATTTTTAGCACGGTTATTTTTCTAATTCAGAAAGATATGGTGGTGTTAGAAGATTTTGGCTAAATAAACTACCAAGATTCCATTTTGCATCCTTATTAATTGATGGATGATCAATTACATTATCAACTTGGTTTGAAGTTATTGCATTTTCGTCAAGCTCTAATTCATCTGAATCTTGTAGATCCCACTCTTCTTCATTTCGTACATGCTCATCATCATCAACCATAGTAATCCATTTTGACACTATTTCATTCCACTCTTCTGCACTTATAGCATTGTTATTTCTTTCTTGTTCTTGAATCTCTTCGTCCTCAGAATCGCTAATATCTATTGCATAATCTTGATTGCTTTGTGTAGAATTTAATATTTCAGAATTATCTGATAGTTGAAAGTTATTTTGATTGTTTTGAAAATTTTTAATTAAATTTTCAATAGCTTTTAAGTTATTACGATGATTCATTGCAGCACGCAATTGACTCATTTGTAACACTTTTTTAGGCTTAAGTATAAATCAATAATTTTAGAATTTATTATTATATACGTATAATTTATAATTAAATAAAAATAATAAACAAACCTTTAAACGATTAC